CACACACACACACACACACACACACACACACACACACACACACACACAACCAACATCATAGACCCACCTTTCTTTCCTATTTCTTACTCATGTAAACAACCATTAAAACCCTAGCAAACCAGTGTTGGCAACATGATTTCTTGACGCTAACTCAATACCCCACACCTGCTTCTGGACACCGATGGAACCAACTACTACCGACCTCTTCCCCTTCCCCTGATGTCGTCGATTTTTGAGTGTGAGGGGTACGCACAGACCAGTTGAGGGACGAAGGAAATGATAGGTAACCGCAATTCAATCAAAGTTTAAATCTTAATCCAAATCCTCGTCTTCATCTTTGATTTGCCTCTAATATGAACAAGCAAATTTTGGGAAACCACAGGACCATTTATGAAGTTTTGTTGCTATTTTATGATATTAACCTAATACTTTCTCATTTGTTCGGTCTATAACCTGATTTTTTTTCCTAGCAACTTTCAAGAGTTGCTTATCTTTTTGGTTTGATAAATTTGGCATTTTCCCAAGTTAACTCTTAGTTAACATTGCTTAGGTTGCATGCAACACCATGATTTATTATTAGAGAAATGTTACTGTAGCACAATAAACTTTTTTCATTTGGTTGATTTTAAAAGGTTATCCGGTGACCAAGTTTATGTAGCAATGCTGACATGGAAGCATTTACCACGTATATGACATGCTAACTTACCCTTATTAATTGAAACCCTTTTCGATGCACCTCCTTCATCTTCATTTCCTTATATGTTACACCTAAAAATCCTAAAAACTCTAAATCCATCGATCATAATGTCATCGTCTTCTTCTACAACTCAACCATAAACCATCTTGGTAACCAAGGGGAAGCGAAGAAGTACAAACGTGAGTTCATTGTCTTCGAAAAGATCTCATGGATAGCCAAAAATCATGCACGCCGATTTTGGAACTGTCCAAACTCTATGGTACTCTCCGATCTTTGTTCCAGTGAAGCATAGTGTAAGGCTTTGTTAAGCAAATGTAATTTTTTGAGTTGTGATCTTTGTGAGCTTCAATTTTGATATTTTTGAGCTCTGATTTTGATATGTGATGTTTGGTGAGCTCCGACTTGAGCTGTGATTTTTGTGAGCTCCAAAAACCATGCATGCCAATTTGATTGTGATCGTCATAGCCCCGATTTACCTTTCATACTTGTTAGGTTCGTTTGTTGTTGGTCTGATTATACTATTCTGTTTGATATCTATGTTAGCTTAGATTTCATTGTTAGGTACTTGTAGTGTAATGATATATTGTTTTGAGTGTAACCCTAAACATATGGGACCTAATTATTCCTTCTTAATCATGCAAATAACTTTTCCCATTGATAAATTACATATTACATTCCAAAATAGGAAACCAAGTTTCATACGTGTACCATTTTCATACATGCCATGCAGAATATTAAATAAAACTAAAGACAAACAAAATTATATATTTTAAACACATCCAAACACATCATCGCCAAGTACACTCATATTATAGATTAAGAACTTTTTCCGTTGAATTTCCTAGAGCATCATCACCACCCACTCTCTTAACCCGATTTCAACTTCAAAATTCTATTCGGCTTTATTTTCCTTATCCTTATCAATATCTCAGAAATAGTGTAACATCCGTTTCCCATAATGGATCCGTGGATGGTATAAGAGAGTTAAAAGCATGTTTTTCTTAGGAAAACCATGTGCTACGATGTGGCGCATAGGGTGTTACGACATGGCATGCGCGATCGTGAATGTGCATTTTAGGAAGTCGCCACGACGTGACAGTAGAGTGGCCACGACATGGCGTGCATGGCAACCCAAGCCCATGAGTTTTTAGGGTTCTCTCCATATTTAAGCACCTTAACTTCAGGTTAGGGCATCATTTCCAGCCTCCAACCTCTCCATTTCAAAAACACTACCCCCTTTGAGTGTTCTTGGCCATTTGAAGACTCATTTCTCATATTTTGGTGTGGATCTTGAAGACCAAGTTTCTTATAAAGTGTTTTGGTGAAGGGCTCAAGTGTAGATCTAGCAAGAGGACTTCACTTATGGACCATTGTGAGTAAAAAGCTTCCATCTTGATCTTTAGTTTGCTAGATCTTGTACTTTGATCATTTATGTCCCTTTTTTTGGTCCTTGTGAGCTTGTGCTTGGAGTTGAGTGAACTCCAGAACCTCTTGATTTTATTTTATCATCTCATAATCTGGTTGGATTGGGAAAGTTTGCATCTTGATCTTGTTCTTGAAGCCATGTATGTTTTGGGAAGGGTTTTGAAAGAACACTTTTCTAAACTTTCGTATTTCTGAAAGACCCAAACTTTCATACTTGAAAATTTTTACTCCAAAACATGCTACATGCATATTTATAAAACTCAATATCTTACATTGATAAAGTGATTACAAAAGATTGAATACAAACCGACTATGTTTTAATATTTTACATAACTACCCAGGATATTGTAATTTTATACAAACATAAACCGAAATACAAAAGTAAGAGTAAAAACTATTCTATATCTTCCGACAGTATACGATTATACTAGTTACTTATCTCCTACAAATTTGTTAAACATTGAGAGGGGTAAGCGGTGACGCTTAGTGAGTTCAATAATAAATACAATATAACGTTATGCCATATATATACTTCAATATGGCAGAAGCAAAGAGGAACAAGGAACAACAAAAGTATATGTGAATCATGAGACAAACTTTCCATATCAATCAATGATTTGATACAAATATATACGATCAATAAAGCTTCGGCCCAAATGGCACAGAAGACATACACTTTCCGATGTAAACATTTCGGTAGATTTCAGGCTTATAGCCCTGTCTAACCATCTGCCAATGTCATAGAATAAAAGTCATTCTCTTACGGAGACATGCTCTACATGGCCAGAGGCTACGTACCAGTACCACCGTGAATCTAAGTCATTTCGCTGATCACATGGTCAAAGGTATAGCTTTGCTATCATAAATAGCGGAAATAAAAATAACACAGGAAAATAACCCGGAATAATAA